ATGCATGAACAACTCCGGGAAAAACAATTAATATATATTTTTAAAAATGGTAAATTTTAAATTAGGTGTCAAAATTTCTAGATAATTTATCGGAACTAGCCTTGAAAAATAAATATGAAAGTCAATTAAAATATAAAACAGGAGATAAAGTTCTCATTTTTTATTTAATTGGTTCTTTTTAAGTGTTTTTATTTTGTGGTTCATTTATATAATTATGTCAGTTTCGGTCCTCCGTACTGCAGAAACCTGATAATCATCTATTCATTCAAATCAGGTGTGTTGGAGCAGAGAAACAAGTAAAACATGCAGGGCTGCGATCCTGCAGGACCAGGATTGCCCACCCACTCTCTTGGCCATGAACCTTTTTTTTTATTTACTGTATTATTTATTTATTTTACATTCTAATTGTAGTTGTGATCAAATTTGAACAGGTGTTCAGTGGGATCACATTAACAAAGTTTGGAGGGATCCTAATCCTGGCGCTTTCCAAGTCACAGATCTTCCAGGTCTTTTACTTCAGGATGTATTTGGCCATCGTCCTGCTCGGAGCGACACATGGCCTCATCTTCCTCCCAGTTCTTCTAAGCTATATAGGTCAGTAATTTTATAGAAAAATCYCACCCCCCCAAAAAACATAAAGGCATGAAATTCAAACAAACTGATGAATGTTTTGTTTCTTTTTAAAGGTCCGTCGGTGAACAAAGCCAAGGTGTTTGCCGCTCACCAGCGTCATGCGGGCACGGAAAAGGAGCGCCTCCTCAAATACTAACAAGCTGACTAATGAAGTATTTGTGAAGGGCTGCGCGAGTGTGTGCATCAGCTGTTTCTGTGCTCAATAACACGCTTGTCATCATTGCCACGACTATGCTTGGATCGAACTCAGGAATGTAGCAGGAAACGAGTGCCACAGGGGTTTTGTCCAAATGCATCTTTTGGTTTCCCTCCAAAGACTCCAACCAGTCCTCCTCTTCCTCACACTACAGGACAAACAAGACTTCAGCATCTGAAGCAGGGACAAGAAACCACAGAATAGACTCTGACAGGTGACTGATAAACCTCGATATGTAGTGACGGTGAGAGCTGTTTGGAAAATTAAAAAAAGGGTTAAAGTGGCTGATTTTTAGGTAATTGTAAAGACCAGAAAAATAGTGTTTTTGTATTTTTGGGGACAAAAAGATGAACTTTTATATACAATAACTTGATGATATAAGTCATTTATTGAGTGGGAACAGTCACAGGAAGGAGCTGAGGGCTAAAAATCAAAGGGAATCACGAATCCTTAGAAAACCTGGAATTACCATGAACACTTCCCCAGGCTTTGTTAGCGTACCGTATCATAGCAGATCAGCTAAAAGTGCATTTCTTCCTCAGCTTTTAACTGTCAGGACAACAACGTTTTTATTCATAAATCATAATTATAGTTTTTATTATTAATAATAAATCAGGAACTGATCTTGCATTAATGAATCGATTTATTTCAAACTCCCTCACAATCTGTCCCAAAGATGCTGCTTCCTGCACAGCTTATTTATTTCCTCATTGTTTACATGATCCAAGTTTCATTTTCACCACATTCTGTGTCCCTTCGAAGCATTTTCAGGACCGGATCGATAAGTCGCTTTGAATGCCAAGTGTGGAGGATGTCCTGGTGCTGAGAATGGGTTTTATATTGAGATGTTTTATAGTTACTGAACAAAGAGGTTGTAGCATCAAAATGCGGACAGAAAACCTTTTAATAAACTGTTTAAAAAATGTTAACATAGGACTAATTAAGTTTAAATCCTCTGTTTTTGTATGGAGATAAAAATGTGTAATTTATTGCATCATAATGCAGTTCTGAGATTTTCATTGCTTCACATTTAAATGATTGTTTTATCTGTTAATACTGTTACTATGTTTTGTCTTTAAACCACTTCTAGTTTATCGGTTAAAAAAAAAGTCGCACAAAAATATTTGTCTGAATCAACACATTAGTTTTCATCCTTTTCTTAACTTTTGTAAATTTAATGTTTTCATGTCTGCGATTGTAATGGATGAATATGAAGATGGTGTTTTCTGTACACATTCCACTTTAACCGCATTCCTTGTTTTTTGTTTTGTTTTTTGATGCATTCATGCTTAGGAATGTGAGAAAGTGCTGTGTGAAAATAATAATAATAATAAGAAGAAGAAGAA